TCATTTATACAACTAGAGGAACTAGATAGAAAATAACTTATATGCATGCGGTCCTCTAGACAACACATTTCATCATGAAAAGGAGGTATAGTCAAATTCGAACAAATATATACTCGATGCACATTATATTCTCCTTTACTATCATAATTGCCAATAATATGAAAAATCACATCAGAAGGGCATGGCAATTCAAATCTAGCAAATAATTTCTTCTCTAAACAGTTGAGTGGACAAAGATCATCAAATTGAATATATCTCCAAGTATTTAAAGAAGATAGCAATTTAAGCTCTTCATTCTCGCTAGCAATGTGAATAACATGTTTAAATTCAACACATAGTGGCTCTACTATAGAACTAACATGTTCATTCACTAGTTGTGGCATGGATATAAGTGAAGCATCGCACAACTCTTCTTTATCACAAGAAACATCAAACAAATTGTTTTGTGACAAAGGTATTTCAGCAATTGTTTCCACTATGGGTTGCTCTAACGTAGCATAAGTAGTGGACATAGTTGGCACATCATAACTATGCATACCTTGAATAGCTGTAGCACTATTATCATTACCTTGTTTCTCATCTTCCTCTTCGTCTTTTTTCTCTTCCTCATTACCTTGGTTGTTCTCAGATGCCTGCAAAATATTAGTATCCAAAGCAATAGGCACAACAATACGTTCATTTTGTAATAACTCAGACTTAGTTGAAGGCATCGCAATATTAGTATCTTTCCTGGTATCTCTGAAAATATCATCGATTCTATTTTTCGTCCTTTCAATACTATCTTTGAAAATTTCCTCGATTCCATTCTTCATCCTTTCAAGATTATCTTCTAAAATTTTAGTAAAACTCATGGGTACCAATTTCATTTTCCGACCATTATGTCTAAATGTGTATGTATTAGCAACAAAATTATGCGATCCATTATTATCATATACCCATGGTTGACCTAACAACAAAGAACATGCTTGCATAGGGACAAGATCAAAATTGGTAGTATCATGGTAATTTCCAATCGAAAAGTTTATTCTCACAATTCTATTTATCTTGAACTTACCACAAGAGTTGAACCATTTGATGTAATATGGATGAGGATGCGGTTGTGTAAGCAACTCAAGTTTCTCAACTAAATATGAACTCACCAAGTTATTACAACTCTCACTATCGATTATAGTACGACATGCTCTATCCTTAACCACAAACTTTGTTTCAAATAATTCGTGATACTGCCATTGCTCTGCTTTCTCCATTTGAGAACTTAGCACTTGTTGCACCCAAGTACTGTTAGCACGTGCACCTTGTTGGTATCGCTGATTTTGAGCGCCACTCATACCTGTCATTGCAAACACAAAGACAACAGCAAACAATGAAGGTTATCCCTAATAATCTGCTACGCGGTGTAGTGGTGCCCCTCAACAACTCGGCCAAATGGAGCACCTTACCAAGCTCTTACAAGTGTCTTACCAGCAATGCTAAGGACGGTACAACCGGTGGCTGGTTCGTGACACCTTGAAAGACGTGATGTGGCGATTACAAGGATCAAAGCGGTGCTGACCAGAAGTATATATGTGGAACTTGGGAGGCACAATATATAGTAGCAAAGGAATGCAATTGTGCTAATCAGAAAATGCAAAGTTGAATAATAGTTCAAAGTACTAGTCAATGTGCTGGCCTAGCCTAGACTCAACTCTAGCTCAAGCAAGCACCCGACCACACTAAGGACTTGATACGAATCAATGCACAACTCTGCACTCTCAAAACATACTCAAAGGATGAATGATTTTTCTTTTTTTCTCTTTCTTTTTTCTTGGTGCGGCTTTTTTCTAAGCACCTTTCTACCTTTTTTTTCTTTTTTTTTGGTGCGCCTTTTTTCTTTCTTTTTCTTTGCAGCTTTCTGCCCTTTTCTTTTTTTTCTTATGTTTTTTTTTCAACAGAAACTGACCACTGACCTCGAATAGGGACTCAAATGTAAATATGAATATTACAGGGACTCAAACGCAAAGTGCAAAACTAAAATTGGATCATCTCAAAAATGGATTGCTCATATCATGTTGGTTCCATTTTTATAAAAATATCTCAAATCCACTACTTAACAATTCTATAAAGAGGAAAATACGGACAGTCATGGATAGATCTGATCTGACCCGGAGTCTCTCCTCACGCGCACAGTACTCCCCTCATGCACACAGTAACGCGCGCTCAGTATAACCACTCCAAAACCGTTTGATAAAAATTTCACCAAATCACAAAAAGGGAAACCCGACGACGAGACAATTCAATTTTTCAAGGTCCCGGCAACAACCGACGAGATGAAAAACTGGACCTAAAACTGACGTACAACTCACACTCTTGAGTGATGAACCCTAGACCTAAGTGATGAACAGATGCAATACTCAAAACTAAAAATTAAATTTAAAACTAAACCAGCACTCGAATTCAACAAAGCAAAATCTAATAGAACAATGAAACGGCTCAAATTGTCTAGGTAAAGAATAAATATTTTTGTGTGGCAATTTTCTGGTTATAGGAAGATAAATTACCTAATGGGCAACGGCGCTCTGATACCAACTGATGAGGGATGTAGGTCTCGATCTTCCGATAGGTATTGATAAACAATCGATTTGGGCGGAGTCGCGACACAACTCGATCCGGCTTCTGAACGAACACGCTACTGAGCCCCGCAATCGCAGCACCACATCTCCTCTGGTTATCAACCGTGCCAAAACCCGGTTGACCTCGCCGAGAAGGCTAATCCCTGCATGCGAATCAAAGAACACAAGCAAGAACAAGATAGATTGCAACCAAATTGCATATGAATGATTAATCACTCGAATTTGGGGTTCCACAAACCGATCTAGTGGCGAAATTGTTCTTGACAGAATAATCTAAGCAAAACCCAACTCTAAACGATGACGGCTACTGAATAAATGTGATTAGGGACATCCTAGGGTTGCCCTAGGGCGCACACCCCCTTGGGCTAAGCCCACGACACAATTACAAGGCCCAAAACCCAAATCAGATTCGGACTGGTTGAGATACTTGGCTTGTTTTGCAGATTCCCGGCAGATCGGTAGGAATTTTAATATGGGACCAAAACCATCTGAAAGTAGACTCCATAAGCTTTCCAACAAGAACTTATGGGCCCCAAAGTTCCTTCTAGATCACCGGCTAGGTCCGTTTGAAGATGATGCTGTCAGGAGGCCCGAATCCGAATCCAAATGTGTAGATCTTTATCTCTTGTCTTCTATGGACCAAAAGTGACGTGGTGAGATGAAAGAAAACTTGGAGAAGGTCTTGGTTTGGTCCTCAATCAACTTCTTCAATCATCTATGCTTTCCTTACGCTCGGACTCTTTTCTTTCGCCCAAGCAAGTACCTCTGCGAACAAAAACACACGAAACTCATTGTGTAGCAACGTTTGTTCAAATATATAACAAGTAAATCTAATGTAGAATATATGCACCTTTATTTGATTAATACATAAGGTAGTCATGGTTATATCCGAGCTAGTTATGTCCTCATCATCCCCTTCCCCATATTGCTGCGTCCTTACAAGAATTGTGTCTCACTCCGCCGAAGGAAGCCACTGTTCGGCTCAAGTATTCTCCTGAAGTTGCTCAAATGGAGGCAAATCACAACATGCTGCTGAAGGTTGGATACTCTGGTGGACAGATCAGGGATATACCTCTGCAGCCTCTCAAAAAAGCACTGCAAAAGGTATGGGGAAGTTGTTTTTTGGACATCTCTCAAGTGGATTCCAATTTGTTTATGGCTCATTTTCGTACTTGGGAAGATCTTTCTTGGGTTTGGAATAAACAACCTTGGTCTTTTGGGAGTGACACTTTCTTGATGGAATGGGCTACAGCTAATGAAAAACTCAAACCTCTTTCTGCTTACACCTTTAAATCCATCATGGTCACAGTTAGATTTTATGGAATCCCAATGGCTCTTAGGACAGAAGATACTGCTAGGAAAGTGGTTAAGGAAATTGGTGAACCCTCTGCTGCTAACCCCATTGTGGAAGAGAATCTCAAGAAAGATCCTAGGTTCATGAGTGTTAGAGTTAAGATGGATGTCTCTAAGCCAGTTCAAGCTATAGTGAATCTTGATATTGACATCAGAGAACCTCTCAAGGTTTTTGTTCATTATGAGAGAATTCATCGCATTTGCACCTTCTGTGGTCTCATGTTTCACAATTCTCAGACTTGTCCCATTAAGCAAAGAATTATAATACAATAGAAAGCTGATGACCAAGTGCAGTTAGATGATAGATATGGAAAATGGATTACACAGCTTTCCTATTTGCCTCCAGCAGCAATGGTGGATATAGAGAAGGAAAACAAAAATTCTCTGGTTGCTAAATTTCGGCAGCATTTTGCAAGTCCTGGTGCTAGAACTTGTTCTTCACAAGAAGGAGGCTCCAAAGTCAATATGATAGGACAGGTGAATAGTGCTTTGCAAGATGGCAGATTTGCTCTTGTGGGCCCGAGCCTTTTTAGTCAAAAAAGCATCCAACCCAATACTATGCAGAAGGATGTAGAACAAGCCAAGGGCAAGAGTGCAGTAGTACAGCAGCAAAATATACCTCAGCACCTGGATGGATTGCCTTTAGCAGAAAATGCCAATATTCAGCCTTCCAGGGTTCAGCTGGCTCAACTGGCAAGGGTTCACTCCCCAAATCTGGGCCAACCAATAACTGCTGCATCTGCCTCTAAGGACAAAAACAGTCTGTATGTGATCCCGGCAAAGAAGAAACTTCAATTCCAGAATCAAATGGGGAATTTAACTATTTGCCACTTTTACGTTTGCCAATTGTTCAAATACCCCTTTTAGGTTTGCAGTTAACTATATGCCATTGGAGAGAGAAGCTTTTCTAATTTTTTGCCACTTTTCGCATTGTACACCGCCACATGGGCTTGCTAGCGTGGAATGGGCACATGAAATGACTAGTATACCCCTGCATCTGAAACCCTAAATCAGGGGATCCTCTCTCTCCCGATTCCGTTCGACCGCCAGCCACCATCGACGGGCGACGCGCCGTTGACCCCTGCCCGCCCCGCGTCGGCCCCGCGCCGTCGACGCCGGCCCGGCGCGCGACATCGACGCCCGTCCCGCGCCATCGGCCCCTGCTCGCCCAGCGTCGGCCCCGGGCCGTCGACGCGCCGCCCGGCCCGCCGGCTCACCGCCCCACGCCGGTCCTGACGTTCTCCACCCGCAGTCCGCCGTCGACGCATTTGTCAGATCCGCAGCTCCGGCATCATCCCGGCATTTGTTCTTCCCCAACAGCACATCGTGACCTGGTAGGGCATCGTCGCCATCGTCCTCCGGCGGCGATGAAGCCCTCAGTTTGTCCTTCTTGGTAAGTTCATTTTCTCTCTTGCCCTCCCTGCTTGTATTGTGTTGCATGCATGGAGTTAGATGTGTTCTAACTCCATTTTTTTTATGAATCTGTTTATGTCAGGATTGATCCTGGCAATGCGCTTAGATTTCTTGTTAGGGTTGCTAAGTATGTTGCGAATCTAGAGTATGGAATGCTACCAATGTCAGAGCAAGACTATGATTGGTGGGTTGATATTAGCAGTGGGTATAATTTGGATAAATTTCATGATGAAATGGCTAGCAAGATAATCTGGGGGCCAAGCCAAGAAATTAGAGTTTGGGGTTTGGACACTGAAATTGGCACTGAATGTAAGTTGACAACCAATGAAGAATTTGGCCAGTGGATGAATTCTATGTTGGATGATAAGCTGGTAGAGTTTGGTGTTGAAGTTATTTATAAAAAGGGATATGAACCTATTGAAGGCATTGCAAATCCAGTTGATTCAGCTATTCAAGGTGTCTCTGGTGTGGTAACTGCAGATCCAATTGATCAGTCAAGTGCTCAAGTTCTCTCTGCTATGATTAGTGCTGAAGTTTCTTCTCCTGGTCATGAAGAAGGGACGGGTGATACCTCTAGCCATCCACAAAATGCAGAAGAGGCTAATGCTGTTGTAGATTGGAGTAAGTTGGCTATACTTGTTGAACCTGAGCAAGATTGTGATGTTAATTTATTGTTGGATGAGGATCAAGTTTTTGAGGCCATGGGCTTCAAAGCAGCAGATCAGAGAGCAGCAGCTGCTGCAGCAGCTATGGAAGAAACTGCAATTCCTATTATTCCAACCGAGATTCAGCAAGACATGTTAGATGCAGCCATTGTAGTGGACGATGAAGTACCCATTGATGTGTTGGATTGGGACAGGGATGACCCAGATATGTCAGTGGGGACATTTTACCCTTCTATGGATGAGTTCAGAATGGCAGTGAAGCAATATGCCATTGTTCATGAGTTTGAACTAGAGACTGAAAAGTCTGACAAAGAAAGGTTTAGAGGGAAATGCCATGCAATTGGTTGCCCATGGATAATTAGAGCAAAGACCCAACCTAATAAGAGTGTCAGGGTATTATACTAACCATTTAAATTACCTTTGCAATTTGACACCTTGCTTGCTGAATTCAGATTGGAGTAACTTTTGCATAGTTGCTAATATTGTTTGCTTTTGCAGGTCCAAATAAACAAATATGATCACAAGTGTGCTTCAAGAAGCAGAGTTCGTGGAAGGATGGCATCTCAAGCTTGGGTTGCTGAGAGGGCAATTCCATTTCTCAACAAGAAGAATGGGATGGGTCCAAAGGAACTTCAGAAGGAGCTGCAGGACACCTACAAGATAACCATACCTTATCATACAGTTTATCATGGTAGGAAGAGGGCAACAGACAAGTTATTTGGTAAGTGGTCTGATTCATTTGATTGGTTGTATAGGTTCAAGGCAGAGGTGGAAATGAGGTCCCCAGGTAGTGTAGTTGAGATAGACACAGTTAAAGTTGGAGATAAGGTTCACTTCAATAGATTCTTTTGTGCATTTAAAGCATCAATTGATGGTTTCTTAGGGGGCTGTAGACCCTACATTAGCATAGATTCTACTGCCCTTAATGGATATTGGAATGGACACATGCCTGCAGCCAATGCATTAGATGGACACAATTGGATGTTTCCTTTGGCATTTGGTTTTTTTGATTCAGAGACCAAAGAGAACTGGGTTTGGTTTATGGAGCAGCTAGCCAATGCAATTGGTCCAGTTCCAAAATTAGCTATCCACACTGATGCATGTAAAGGGTTGGAAACTGCAGTTCACAAGGTATTTCCATGGCAGAACAGAGGGAGTGTATGAGGCATTTGATGGAGAACATGAAGAAATTATTTCATGGGTCTATCTATGCGAGGAAGATGTGGCCTGCAGCTAAGACTTACATGCTTGAGAAGCATGACAAGTGGATGGATGAAGTGACAACAGCTAGTCCAGAGGTGAAACAATGGCTTAAAGAATATCACAACCTACTGTGGGCCAGAAGCAAGTTTGATTGTGCTATAAAGTGTGACTACATCAACAATAACCTGGCAGAGTCATGGAACAGTTGGATCAAAGACTTGAAGGATTTGCCTGTTGATGCTCTTGCAGATGCCATTAGGGAGAAAACTTTGATCTTGTTTGAGAAGAGGAGGAGGATCTCTACAGCTCTCAATGGAGTGATTCTTCCTGTTGTCATCCATCAGTTGAATGAAGCCTCAAGAGGTTTAGGCCATCTGAAGGTTACTAAAGGAAATCCTGACCAAGCAGAAGTTACAGAGACATACAAGGATGAGGAAGTGACTAGGCATGTGGTGTACCTTGATAAGTGGACATGTACATGCAGGGAATGGCAGGTCACTGGGAAGCCCTGCCCACATGCATTGGCACTGATCACAACAATTAGGCAGCCAAATATGGAGAAATATGTTGACACAGCTTACTCTGTGCACAGATTTCAGGCAGCATATGCAAGTGTTATCCCTAACATCACAGACAAGAAGCAGTGGCCAAAAGTTGATAAAGGTTTCAAGCTCCTGCCACCCGTTCCCAAGAAGAGAGGAGTGGGTAGGCAGAGAAAGAATAGGATCCCATCTGCTCTTGAAAAGGGCAAAGGAAAGGCCACAAGGCAAGTTCAATGTCCAGACTGCCAACGGTTTGGACATAGGAAGGGTAGTGTAAGATGTGAACTGACTGGAACTAGGAAGAGGTTAGTTCAGCTATGATTTACTTTCTTTTAGCTATTGTACAATGTATTGCTTAAGCTAACCAATGTTTTGCAGGAAGAAAAACAACAAGACAAAAACAAATGTGGGAAGGAAGAAAGCAAAGGGTGCCATTGATGCCCAAGCTGCTGCAGTTGATGTTCAAGCGAATACGCCAAGAACAAGAGCTGCTGCAGTTGATGTTCAAGCGAATACACCAAGAACAAGATCAGCTGTAGCAAAAGAAGCAGCTGCAGAATCACAAGTGCATGCAACACAAACAAGCAGTCCTGGACCAATCACTAGGAGGTAAGGCATAATTGTGTTGTTTTTCATTTCATTTCACTTAACTTTGGTTCATGTCTTGCTTACACCCATCAAAAACAACAGGAGGCTGGCATTAGAGGTTGGTCAAAGCTCCGTTGAAGTAGCACTTGTACCCGTGCAGGTGCAAGCGGCAGTACAGCCAACCAAGAAATTCACACCAAGGAAAAAACTAGCTAGCAAGCCAAAAAGGGCATCACCACCAAAGCTTCTGAAATAAAATGTGTCAATCTGCTATCAATCTGCAAGTATTTTGCTATGTATGGCTGAAATGCGTCAATCTGCAAGTATTTTGCTATTTATGTCTGAAATCGTCAATCTCGAAGTAATATGAACTTCTAATGTGCATGGCCTGATGATGTATTTTTGCTTTTGTAATGATATATGCCATGATGAACCTGTTATATGGCACCGACCATTGTATGGTCTGATGGCCCTGATGGACCTGTTATATGTATAGACCAATGTATGGTCTGATGGACCTGTTATGCATGGCCTGCTTTTGTAATGATGTGTGGCCTACAATGAACCTATGAATTGTATGGTTGATGAATTAAGATATTTGGATGGGACGTGATGAATTAAGGCACTTCTGCTATTGTGTGCATGTTCAGTTTGTTGAGATATATGTCTGGATATGTATGCTGACAAATATTAATCCTTGTACATATATGTGTTGTCATGAAGTTGTATATTATGTTATATATTGCCAAAAAAATGCTATTGTTCTTGCAATCCTATATATATGTATGGTTTCAGTCAAATGAACTATACATTTAGCTAGTAGTAATAAGTTGTATCATTTTACCTAAATATTGTTTCAGATTCGGCTCTATATTGCAGCCAATGGCTATTAAGGGTATACTAGTCATTTCAGGTGCCCATTCCACGCTGGCAAGCCCATGTGGCGGTGTACAGTGCGAAAAGTGGCAAAAAATTAGAAAAACTTCTCTCTCTAATGGCATATAGTTAACTGCAACCCTAAAAGGGGTATTTGAACAATTGGCAAACGTAAAAGTAGCAAATAGTTAAATTCCCCGAATCAAATGCCTGCTTCTCACCAGTTCCAACAGGAATTGAACTCAATTCCTCTCAGCTCTCTGCACTGCCTTAATCACTCACAGCCGAGTAAAGTTCCTCAATCGCCTGCTCAGACTGCTAGTTCCATTCAATATCTCACTGACAGAAATTTGGCTACAGAGCTTTCACCAACCGGAAATTTACTGCCTTCTTCCTCCTTAAGGCATGAGCCGAGTGCAAAGCGCCCTCTTCCTATTTCTTCTTCTTCTGATGCTAAGAGAAGAGTGTTGAGCGGCCATGGCTATACTGGAGGAGCTGATGGAAGAGGGTGGGCTGCTGGAGCCTCTTCGCCAGCAGGAATAGGAAGTGGATGGAGCTCCTGGGGAGAACCAAGAGCAAGAACCCCTAGAGCAGGCCTCTCCCCTCTCTGCCGAGGTCGATGGTGGTGACACGGCGTCCAGCCAATACAGAGGCAGTGATGGAGGCAGAAAAGATGGAGAAGCTACCCCAAGAAGAGAAATCAGAGTTAGAGGCAGAACTTCTCGTTGGGACAGGAGATCAGAAGTTAGCCCTAGAACTCAGGAAGGGTTTGTTTGGAGGCGCAATGTTTCTCACCCTGTCGTTCCCCATGGATCACACTCTATGGAATCTGAAAAAACTGCTTTGTCTCATGCTTGTTCTGGGGATCTGCTGGTGGGTTTGGAGTTCTCAGCTCAGAAAGCAGATTACAATGCTTTGGAGAAAGATCTCAGAGATAAGGAGGCAGCAGATGTCTTTACAAAGTCCTTCTCGTCGGGCTCAAGGTCAATTACTGCTGCTCATTTTTCAAGTGCTGGCTTTGGAGGACCTGGTCCCTTTGGGCCTGCTGTTTCTGCTGGGATGGTTCAGTGGGGTGGAATGCCAGCTGACGATTGCACTAGGGCTAATGTACCAACTTCTGATGAGGGGATGGAAATGGATCAGCTCTCTCTTCTCGGGCATCAGGCGTCAGCCCTTAAGGCGCCACGGGAGCCATGACGTTCCTAAGCTGGAACTGCCAAGGTATTGGCGGGAGCCTTGGCAGTAGAAAGATGAACTATCTCCGTCATATTATATCCTCTACTAATGCGCAGGTAATCTTTATTTCAGAAACAAAAATGATTCCCTCTCTACCCATAATATTAACAATGCCTTTTGTGTAGATAATAGTTATATAGTTCCTGCTGCTAATGCTTCTGGTGGTCTTTGGCTTTTGTGGAGCAATGAGATGGACATCACGATCGTGAAGAGTAGTGCTAACTATATCTTAGGTGTAGGTGTACATACCCCTTCTGGCACTCTTTTCAATCTTTTGTGTATATATGGTGATGCCTCTCACCAAGGTACTAGTAGAATTTGGCAGGATGTTGGTTCTTTTGTAGCCCAAAGCTCTCATGGGGCTTCTATCTGTATGGGTGATCTTAATGACATTATGAGCCCGGAGGAGAAGTTTGGTTGTAATCCTCCTAATCTTAATCGAATTGCTTCCTTTTGTAATTATACGAGATGCTTGGGCTTGATTGACATGGGCTACAATGGTCCTGCTTATACCTGGACCAACAAGAGAAAGGGCAATGAGGTCATCTTTGAAAGACTTGATAGGTGTTTGGCCAATGTGGAATGGTGTCACCACTTCCCTAATACCAATGTTTATCATATCCCTCTCATTTATGGTGATCATGCTCCTATTCTTGTTTTACTTAACCCTAATTTCAGGAAACCAAAGAGAAGCTTCAAATTTGAAAATTGGTGGCTCCTTGAGGAAGACTTCAACACTGTTGCAAAAAATAGCTGGAACGATTGTAATGGTTCTTTTGTCAGCAAAACCAAGTTCTTAAGCAAAAATCTCTCCACCTGGAGCAAAAAGAAGAAACCTATTCAGGATCAAATCGTAAGCACTGAAGAAGATATTAAACAAATTCAAGCTTCCCAAGATAGGCACAATCTAGTGGATAAAGAAAAGGAGTTAATTGCCAAATATGACCTTCTCTTGGAGAAACTCTCTGAATTTCACAGACAAAGGGCCAAGAAAGACTGGATTAAAGATGGGGACAGAAATACTTCCTTCTTTCAGCAAGCTGCCATCAAAAGAAGAAGGAAAAATAGAATTGCTTCCATTGTTAGCAATGATGTTTATATTACTAATCCTGATGATATTGCTCAAATTTTTATTAATTATTTCTCTGATTTGTTTTGCTCTGATAGAACTGATAGACCTAATACTTATCTTCCTAATACTACTTCTCCTCAAGAAATGGATTGGCAGATTCCAGATGAGGAAGAAATTTGGAGTATCATCAAGGGCATGAGGAAAAATGCTTCCCCTGGGCCAGATGGTCTTAATGCTGCTTTTTACAGATCTGCATGGAGTTGGATAAAGGATGATCTAATGACTCTGGTTCAGGACTTCTATCAAACAGGTAACATTCCTCCCGAGCTAAACAAAACCAATATTGTTCTCATTCCTAAAAAGAACAGATCTATTTCCCCTAAAGACTTCAGGCCTATCAGTCTTTGCAATGTTCCCTACAAGATTCTAGCCAAATCTATTGCCAACAGAATTAAGGGTAAGCTTCCTGATTTCATTTGTGATTCTCAGCATGCTTTCATTCCAGGTAGGAGAATAGCTAACAATATTATCATAGCTCAAGAAATTGTTCATTCCTTTGGTCTTAATTCTTATCCTCATCATGCTTTTCTTATCAAAATTGATCTCTCTAAAGCTTTTGATAGACTTGAATGGGATTTCATTGCCAATGCTCTTCAAAGGAAAGGCTTTCATCATCACTTTATCAATCTTGTGCTTTCTTGCATTAATTCTTCTTCTTTTTCTGTTAATATCAATGGTCAGACTTATGGTGCTTTCAATGCTAATCGTGGTATCAGGCAAGGTTGTCCTCTCTCTCCTTATCTTTTTTGTTTTGCCTTAAATGAGTTATCTGATCAATTGAATGAAGCCCTTCAAAATCATAATATCAATGGTATCAAGCTTAGTGTCTCTGGTGCTGTTATTCACTCTTTACTCTATGCAGACGACCTAATCATTACAGGTACAGCAACTGTTGAGGAGGCCAATCAAATAAAAAGCATCATTGACAAATTTTGCAGGAAATCAGGACAAACTCCTAATTGGGATAAATCTGGGATCCTTTTCAGTAAGCATATTCCCTCTCATATAAAGAACTATATCAGTCAAATATTTCCTGTTCCTATCCTGGATTCTAATGTCAGACATCTAGGTCACCCTCTTTTTGTCACTAATAGAAACAAGTCCATCATCTATAAATTCATCATTGATAAATTCAGGGCCAAGTTGACTACTCTTAAAGCGAACAAACTTTCCCATGCTGGCAGGCTAACTCTTATCAAATCTGTGTTTTCTTCTCTCCCTGTCTACTACATGGCTACCATCCTCCTTTCAAAAAATCTCCTCAATAAAATCACTGCTATTATCAGGAAGTTTTGGTGGACAGGTGTTAGAGAAGGACAGGATAAAAACCCTTTGTGCCTGAAATCTTGGAAGGAGATCTGTAGGCCTTTGGATGAAGGTGGTCTTGAAATTAGAGACATTCAAGCTGTCAACAAAAGTCTAATTCTTAATTCTGCTTGGAGGCTCATCACCAATCCTCATGAACAAATGGCTCAAATTCTTAAAGGTAAGTATTTTCCAAATTCTTCTTTTTGGGAAGCTTCAAAGAACATTTCTAAATCGGTCTACTGGAGTTCTGTACTCAAAATAAGGAAGGTGCTGAAACACTCTGTCTCCTGGCAGTTAGGAGAAGGCAACATTTCTATTTAGAATCAACCTTGGTGTGATCTTAACAATGACATTTATCATTTTATTAAATCTAATCCTTTGCCCAGTCAGTTGCCTGTTAAAGTTGCAGATCTCTGGACTGAGACTAAAGAATGGGATAGCAACAAACTTAATTCCTTATTTGAAGAAGAAGCGGTGCACAAAATCATGCAGGTACCAATAATGCAGAACGATGCAGAGGATAAGCTTTTCTGGAAGCACACAAGAAATGGACAATGCAATACTAAGAGTGCTTACAAGGAATTTTACAAAAGAGAGAACCAAACAATTCAACAGGTAGATTCTCAATCCATTGCACTAATCAAATCTGTTTGGAAAACTAGAAATATGCCTCCAAAAGTTAAGGTTTTTGCTTGGAGATTGGTTAGGGGTGCTCTTCCTTCGGCTCTCAGACTTCACCAAAGAGTAAATGACATCTCTGTTGCCTGTTGTAGATGTGGTATGCCTGAAAGTGATTTTCATCTTTTCTTCTCTTGTCCTTTCAGTAGAATAACATGGATGATTTCGTGTTGCAGATTTAATATTGATAACTTCTCTGATAATTCTCTCTTATCTCTGATCATATCCTGCATCACTTCTAATGCTGCTAACAATTCTGATCTTAACAAATTTTTCAATGTTATGTGGCAGCTTTGGAAAGCCAGAAATGATCTTAAATTTCAGGGTATAATGAAAGAACCTTCCCAGGTCTGTTACCTGGCTGATGCAATGATTAGTTCCTATTCTTGTGTTCTTTCTCAATCTGTGCTGCAGGGAAACACTGAAGAGGAAGGCACTAGCAAAAGAAGAATGGAAAGCATCCCAAATGGAAACAGATGTTATACAGATGCAGCCTGGGAAAATGGAGTAACTGGCATAGGGATATTTTTTCATTTTCCCCAGGATCATAATGCTATGTTTATCAAAGCAATCTCTGATAAAGCTCAGAGTCCATTACAAGCTGAACTTCTGGCCCTCCAACTTGCTTTAGAAATCTCCAAATTTCTGAATCTTGCAGATGTTATATACTTGATGGATAACGCTACCATTGTGGACGCAGTAAAGAGGAACAACTTCCTGCAGGAACCCGGACACTGGAGCCCTAGGCCGTTTTGGCTGCAGATAACTTCTTCCACCCCAGCTGATCTCATGCAAGTTAGATGGATCCCAAATTCCCAAGGGAGATGAACAAAATGGCAGATAAGCTCTCCAAAGAAACTAAGTGCTTAACTAGGGGGAACTTAGTACATATGTGTCAAAATATTTCCCATATTGCTTATCCTCATAGAGACTGCTATGCTAGTCTGTTGAAGGATCATTTCACCTCTCTTAATTGTAATATCAAATATGTACTGTGCTTTTAAGTCTTAATATATCCTGGTTTCAAAAAAAAAGTAATTATTTCCCATCTTTCCATTGTGAACGCACCAATTTATTCTCTCTATTAAAATATACACAGAATGTTATACTGCCGCTAGAGCAAAAGAAACATGCTACGCTTGTACGTCCACAGCACCACCACTTGCTCTGTACACTAGGAACAACAGTACCCTGATTTAGTCGTACAGTCATCGAAGGCGACACTATGTTTAAGCACACGGGTCGCATTGTTTAGTACCGTATCGTGGAGCAAGCAATGGTTGTGCTCCTAATATGGGAGGCGGCCGCCGAGACGTACGTGCTCACATGCACACCCCCCCCCCCCCCCCCGGTTCCATCGCACAGGTTTAGATGATTGGATTGATTTGCAGAGATGACAGAGATACACAGGTTTAGATGATTTAGTAGAGATAATAGAGACACGTTGTGCTTTAGAGATGGATAGAGGTACACTTGATTGTGTTGATTTAGATGAATAGGATTAATTATACAGCAGCAGGTATCTTGAGATGATAAGAGAGGTTGATTGGTATCTTGAGATGATAAGAGAGGTTGATTAATTACAGTTGTGATTGATAGAGGTTTAATTATACAGCAGCAGGTATCTTGAGATGATAAGAGAGGTTTGATTAATTACAGTTGTGATTGATAGAGGTTTAGAGATGATTAAAATTACAGCAGGCTTGTTTGAGATTGACTGATAGAGGTTGATGTTGATTAGAGATGATTAATAAATTACAGCAGGCATGTTTGAGATGATTACAGAAGAGATCGAGATGACTGATTTGCAGAGAGAGAGAAGAGAGCAGGCTTGTTTGAGATTGACTGATATAGAGGTTGATGTTGATTAGAGATGATTAAATTTACAGCAGGCTTGTTTGAGATGATGCTAAGAGGTGATTATTTTTACAGATGGATGAGAGGGGGAGAGTTGTGATTGATAGAGGTGTTGAGATGATTAATTACAGAGATGATTACAGAATAAAAGAGAGATCGCATTGGGAAGTTGTGCGGAAAGCACACACATCTCAAAACATCGAGCTCAATTTGAGCAAACAGCGCATGACACATGCGCTTGCAATTTTTTGATTTACTCTCTTTCTGTTTGGGATTTTCTATTGCAAATATGCAACTCAACAAAAAAATACTCTTAGTTTATATTATTTATCTACATAATTGTTGTGAGATATATTACATATGACTGGGCATGGGCTGAGAACGCGAAGTGAGCATATAGCACTTATTTTGCTGGTATGATCGAAGAAGGTCATCCGACTATTATTGAGATAGGGAAAAAAAACAAAGGTTACAATAAAGTTTTACATCGATAGGTAGTTGTCGAGGAAGGAAGTGGACCAGAGTGTACACCCTAAAACCACATGCTAACCGCACACATAGACTAGTGAGAGACATGCCGAACACCAGACCAGTCACCGCTATACGAGACTGATTGCCACCGGGTCTATTAGAACACCGCAGAGCAAAACTCTTAAAATCGACACCTTCACGAAGGTTACGACGCTAAAAGACGTTGTCGTCGTCCATCCAAAGACGCTTAAAGGTTTGGGTATGTCAACGGCATCCCCAACAGAGTTACCATACCCAAAAGCCTAACCGCTACCGACCAGTGCACCACTGAGTTCAGCTTTCATCTATGACCCCTGCAATCCTATCGTTGTGATCAGTTGCCTGCCAACTCAGATACCACCAACCAAATTACACACACAAAAAACTTTATACTATACATATAAACTCTGTATTTATATCTATACATATATACATATAATTTTTTATTTATATGTATATGTATGTATATAAAATTATACACACAAAAGTTTATGTACAGAGTTTATCTGTAGAGTTTTATGTAAACGGGCAAACGTGACAGCCACTGATAGAAATAGAGAAATATGCCAAACCTGTATTCGCCGCGTTTATCCCTAAAAGGAAAGTAAATAGACTGATCAAATCCCATCTGCTGAAAATGGCAAACACAACACTATCGCGCATGCCCGACCGCATGTTCAATACAAGGCCGACTAAAATTATAGCCAATTCGTTGCTCCCGATAGTGACATCCCATTCAAAAAGCCTACGGAGCCGCATGACAAGCATAGTGAGTTTGGGCACCATAACATCAAAATATTGTTGCCTAAAAATATTCAAAATTTTCCTGCCCTGGAAATCTGAAAGGTAAATCCTAAGACTACCATAGAATATATTTCTGAACGCTTGAAGCCATGCCAATCGTATCAAAAAAAAAATATTAACCATTCAGTTGTGTACATATAAAGAATCGTGATCCCTCTCGGCAATGGTCAGGTCCCAGTACAACAGTTCCCACTGTGGCACTCCAAATTTATCTCAAGCAGATGCTTGCTACTGGTTGGCAGCAGCCTCAGAAGGCGTCTTGGTCGTCATTTGGTCCACAGCATGCACGGTGCTTTGGAGCTCCTCCCATATAGCCTTGTAAACCATTCTCTGCCGATTTACGGCAGACTTCCCTTCGAATACCTTGGAAACTACATCTATGCTGAGGCAGAAAAGGGTGAAGCTCAACTTCAGAAATATATAAACAAGAGAATTTTACAGTTGTTCTGACAAACATCACAGATGAAACAATTGAGAAAATGCATCAAAAACCACATAGGCCAAACTACACTAGTAGGCCAAGCCAGGAAAAAAGAACTAGTTATCCACCCAATTGTTAGCAGAAAACTGCTAGTAACAAAATGAGAAGCAATTACACTCAAAATATGTTTTGAGTTGTAGCATGCAGGATCGGAAGTAGAATAATAACATGAATGGTTACCTTTAAGAATTAAATTTTGAGAAAGAAGGATAAAAATCTTGACAACCATTTCCTATCTCCATCCATCCATATTTCTCCATGTTTCTTATTCGTTTTCACAAAGCTCACAGACTGAAGATTATAAATTTCTCTTCAGGCATGCTTGTTGTATTTTATCTGCTGCTCTTGGTTTATGAATTTTTTCTGAGACTAAGGCCGACAAATTCTGTCTTATATTCCTCTCACTGATGTGACCATCATTCCCATATTTGTCACAGCGGAATCTATGCCAGCATTTTTAACCTGGATGGTGCAAAAAAATTGGAGGCTACGTCTAATGTGCCCAAAGCAGAGGCATGTTATGACGGGAGAAAGTTTCCAGCTTGGAGTTTTTGACAAGGAGATCAAACCAACTTAAAGCCATATATCATGCCTCATGCATGGATGTTTTATTCTTCTAATTTTTTGGAGTACCACTATGTACATGTATATACAAGAGTCCATGCTTAGGTTTTAGCTAATTGAATCCTAGTTGCCATTTGTGCCATCACCACCTAGTAGTATAATTAGCTTAATCACATTGGGCTTATATTGGTTCATATAGGGCTTGAATAAGCTAGTGTGGCGCACATGTGCATGGGCTCCGAATTAGAGCAAGTCCTAGGTGCCCTCGTGAATATACAAGTCAATCATCTAACGGGCTAGGGGGATTGGCTTTTCACTTGCATTTCTTCTGTTGTGGGCTTCCTACAGGCTATGAAGGAGATGGCAATCCCAGTTGTCTCATGGTGAAGTTTTGCTGCTGTCGCTAGATGAGAACGAAGGCCAGTATAGGAATCTGTTTTCTCGGTATGTTGCTTGGTACTGGTGATTGCGTCATCCACTGAACATGTACCGAAGTCTATACACTGAACCGAACCGAACCGAAGTAGCAGTTTTTTCTGTTGGCAGTTTGCTATTCAGTTTTGATATTTCCGTAGTTCGCTCATCGGCCTATGGCTCAGTTTCTACAAGCCAGAAACCAAACAAGCCTGTACCCCAGACTGATTCATATACATCCGTTAGTTTTCAGACTGATAATTTGCTGCTATAGGAGCATATATACCTGAGTCAGTTACTTGGATTAGTGCTTCTTAATTATTAAGAAGATAGTGTTCAGTTTTGTACAAATTTCAGCAAGAGAAAACATAGTGCTTGTGGTCCACGGCCTCCAAATAGAAGGAAAAAATGGGCTACTTGCTGCCAGGTGCTCATCACTCTCTCTTAAACTAGTTCTATCTTTATGTGGTACAGGAACTACCTTTGTTACATGTTACTAGACTCATACCATGTGTTAAAGAAAATACTAGGCATCTGCGATGGCTGGACCGACGCACAAAACTCTAGTAAAGAAATAGTTGTCCATCCTATCTTTTGATTTAGTAGAGTTAATAGAGGGCTGCAGAAGTATCTTGTGGATGAGTTCACAAAACAGACTGTTATTCAGTTGAATTTGATCTCTAACATTCTTGGATCACCTGGACAATGATGGATAGCTTAACTGATGGAATCCATGAAATATTTGGCAAAAGGGGCAGCTTCTAGGAATTAGCAGATGATGCTCCTAAATTTAAGGTCATAAATTGATCAAATGTCTGATCACTGAATGACTGAGTTTGACAGTTGAAGGACCGAATGCTGTTATCAGTATTCTGAATAGAAAGGTAGCTTTCAAGGCATACTGATGGTCTGTATGTTGACTCCATTAATCAGCATAAGCGCTTCAGCGAAGAATTATCGCTCACTACCACTAACCACTAGTGAAGAAAAATGGTTAAATCATTGTGAATGGAAACTGCTTATAAGGAAAAACCAGTTTCAACTTCCAGGAAAAAAGAAAACTAGAAATAGGAAAAGCATAACCAGGTAATATCAATATATTTAGCTATTTCCAGAGCCAAATCATTCATGGAAGCTGACAAGAAAACCTTCTACTATTGTAGGAATGCTCTACCAGCTATCTACATTCTACTACCTATGTGTCTCAGAAAACTATATAACACCGAAGTATGTAACAGACAGGTACAAAAAGATAGATTCTAAAGTACTTGATTTCTCCATGCTCAGAAGCACAGGATATTGGCATATTGCACCAACCGATGTGTCTGTGGCATAGCAAGCAGTCAAGCAGTGGATAAAGTTACTAATATCAATCAATTTTACTGAGTTCGATTAGTTCAAAATGGATGGGGAATGCGATTCTCTCGCATTTCGGGGATGCACCCTCAATGGGAAGTACAAAGTCAGAAGGCCGCATTTGTTTATTGGCACATATAGATATAAGCTAGCTAACCATGGGTCCATGATTTGGGTAAAAACAACATTACCAGACATGGCGGCCGTCGCCAGATGTGTCGACGACGGTGACCGTGTCCGCCTCCAGCTGCTCCTTGATCTGCCAAGAACCAACAACAACAACAATAAAAAAAAAGAAAAAGAGAGCATCACATCGCTTCTACCAGGTGCGCCGCCAAGATTAGAAGCAAGAAGCGCCACGAAGAAGAGGTGGAAGATACCTTGGTCTCCAGCGCCTGCATGGCGGGGGAATCCGTGGACCCCGCCGGCCCGGGCGCCGACGCCCAGGCAGCGAACCCCCTGCTCCTGGCGCCGCCCGAAGGAGGAGGAGGGGACCAGGCGGCGAACCTGGTGGTGGTGGTGGTGGTGGAGGAGAGGGCAACGGCGGCGTGACGGCGGATGGGCCCACAGGAGGAGGAGTAGGAGGTGTAGGCGAAGCGGCGGAGGAGCATGGCGGCGAGGGAGCAGGGGGCGGCGGCGGCGGACCTCATCTGCTGCATCGCCGGTGGAGAGGAGATGGGACGGGAGGAGATTCCACGAGTGCGATACTGCGATGCTCAAGCCTTCAGCTGCTTGTGGTTCCCGTAGTCTTGGGGATTAATTCGGTTTTGGGCGCAGGCCTTGGGCTTGGGCCATGATCAAACAAAGGGCTAGATGGACTTTCTGGAGTAGAAAAGGAAAGCAAGGAAATTTGAACATTTTTATTTGGAATAAGTTCACTTTACTCCCTTAAAAATAACATGAATCTAATCCGTGGCACTGAACCGCAAAACCAGAAATCTTGACCTGGAGATGGACAAATACCGGCAAATACACAATGAAATCTGCTTACCTAGCTCAATTTGCCGACAGGGAAGACTCAAGGGCTACCAAATTGATTTGGAAGACATGGGCGCCATCCAAGTGCAAAAACTTCGCATGGCTACTCCTACAAAACAGAATATGGACAGCTGATCGCTTGCAACTTCGACAGTGGCCAAACAACTACTTATGTCAACTCTGTTACAGGAATTTGGAGACGGCGCAACACCTTTTCAAAGACTGCCCATTCACGCAGGAAATTTGGGACAAAGTGACGGTAAGAATGGCCCACAACTTTTCCTTCCCGGTCCACAACCCGGACGAAAAATTAATCGATTGGTGGGAATCATGAACAACGCAGCAGCAAAGCAAGGATCATGCGAAGGGGGTGCAGTCACTACACATGCTATTATGTTGGGAAATTTGGTGCGAGAGAAATAGGCGGGTTTTTAAAGATATAGCACTCCAAATTCCGCAGTTAATGACAAAAATTCTAGACGAAATTCATGTATGGACAGCGTGTGGTGCAAAAAACTTGCGAGAATAGCGCCTTAGTTTCCCCCCATGGAGGTGTATTTTTTTCTTTTGTGCTGCTCCCTCCCCTGTTCTTCTCCTATCACCGTTGGTGACCTCTGTACAGTGCTTTTCTTCTGAATATAAAACCAGCTCGGTTGGCTTAGGTTTAAAAAAAAAAAAAAGAAATCTTGACCCCTAAACTGTTAAAACCGGTATAATTTGACTCCCTGGTTGGTTTTGGAGGGCGGTTTCGCTGACGTGGCGACTACGTGGCAGTTTAGTCTTCGTCCGACGGGGTGTTGACGTGGCGCTTATTTAGCATTAGAATTAAAAAAATATATGTGGGACCCACTTGTCATTGACACAAACAATATTGTGGGCCCCACCTCCTCCCTCCCTCTCCCATATCTCTCTCTTCTTCTCCCTTTTCTATTCACCTTCATCCGGCAGCAATGAGGATAGCGGCTCAACGGCAACAAAGGGCGCACGGCGGCGGGCGGCAATAGGCGACAGCATCAAGGGGCTGGACCCCGATGGAAAGCCGCACATCGGCGAGCGAGAGCGACAGTGGCGGCGGGCAGGAGGGCGCTAGAGCGGCGACGGCGACGGGCAGGCGAGGCCCGAACAACTCGCCATGGCCACCCGCCGCCGCGCCAACGCAGCCGTCGTCGTAGACCCTGAAGCCGTGGAGCGACTCAGACACTCAGTCGCTCGCCATGGTGCTCTCCTTCGCAGTGATGGTCGCGCGGCATCCACAACCCTCTTCGGCGAGGCCCGCATCACCATCCATAAGTCCGCCGCGAAGCCCAAGCCGTCCACCTCTGGCAGCCCGTGGTACGGACCCAACCGCGTCTTCCGCTTCGCCGATCTGGCCAGGCACGTGCGGAGCCCGGTGAGGAGGGAGGAAGATGGGGACGGCCTCCGCCACTAGCTCTCTCCCTGCCAGCCACCGTCGGTCGCCGAGCTCTCCGCTGACCCGCAGTCGCTCCGACCCCCGCCCGTCGGAGCCACCGCTCCAGCGCCTCCAGTGCCCACCCTCCCGTCGCTGCTGCCATTGCCTCTTGCAGAAGGCCGAAGCGGAGAGAGAGAAGGGGAAGAGAGGGAGGAAGAAGAGAGCGAGGATGACATGTAGGGCTCACATGTCAGTGGGCCCCATAATTTTGTTTGTGTGAATGAAAAATGGGTCCCATATATATGTTTTTAACTCTAGTGCCACCTAAGCGCGACGTCAATGCCGCAGATTGGTCAACACAGCCATGTAGACGCTATGACAACAAAACCGCCCACTAAAACCACTGAGGGAATCAAATTGCAACGGTTTCAATAGTTCGGGGGTTGAGATATCCGGTTTTGTGGTTTAGGTCATGGATTAGACTCTGATCACTTTTAAGGGAGTCAAAGTGAACTTATTCCTTTTTATTTTGCTTCCCTCCGATGTTGCGCGGTTGATTTTCGTACCTCAATCGTAAAATCTCCGTCAACTCAACCCTAATTTTTATGTAAAATTAGTCTGATATTCATCCTTAACTGCAGCTAGCGCTCTCCATGAGGCAGGACTATGCTTGCATTGATTGGGTAGTTGGATAGAAGTAGGGGAACGAAGGGGTAGGGCGGTGCCATTCTGATTGTAATTTCATTGAAAAGTAATGGGTAGCGCTGTAATCAGGTTGGGAGTGGAGCTGCGGAGTGGCATTTTCCTCACTCCACCGTGCTAGTACATTTTTGTGGAGCGATTCACCCTGCTCCGCTCCAAGTTTTGGTGAATCTAGACCGTTTGGCACAACTCCAGCCCTACGTTAGTTGGAGTTGGGAGCTGGAGCTGTGCCAAACGGGGCCTTAATCAAGCTTAGTTAAGCAAATGGGGGTAGGTTAATTAAGCAAATGAGGGGGTTATATGTGGGGGGTGTAGGTGGGTTATGGGGGCTGTTGGGGGAGGCCAGTCATTTGTCATTCACCGCAGGACACCTAACCACATCACTTTTTTTATTCATTATACGATTTTCTTCTATTTTTTTAAGTGAAACATATTCTGCGATACACCACTTTTTTTCCTTTCTATTCATTGTATGATTTCCTTCTTTTTTTTTGAGTGAAAGCGATTATGCGATTGGAGTGCAGTGAGGTTGATATGAAAGCTAGCAAAAAAAAGTTTCTTGTACTATTACTACTCTTTATAATATGTAAAAAAAATGTTTATCCATATCAACTACCAAATAATAACCATGCATTGCAACCGATCTCTTAATAATACATGACAAAAGTTTTAGGTTTCAAATTTTAGTCTATAATACATAATTCAATTTTAAAGTGGTATTAATAGTTTTCCTATAATCATCCATGTCAATGGATTTAGAGCAACAAATAATTATGCGTCTTATTTACACTGGAAAGATTCGATTTGACTATACGGACATCAGTTAATCTGGTGGCATTTTGCTCCCACACACCCATTACTACTGTTTTTTTTTTTGCTTCACCCAATGCAATGCATGGGCATTTTGCTAGTTAAGTTATAATTTACTATGCTATAGAGAATGAAGTATGAATTGAACCTCAATCCTTATAGTATAATTTAACTATCCGCTTTAATTTTAGTCTTTTAATATATTAGTTAATACCCGCAAGATGATAATTATTTTTCTCATTTTCCCACGATCTAATTTTATTTTCTGATTGTTTGTCACGATCTAAACTTTTAATTTGGATGGTATATTATCACAGATACGCTTATCATTTTGTATGCTTTGTACTCATAAGGCTAATTTAAAATGAATAAATATATTCAGTATAGCTACTTGGGTTCTTTTATTATTATCATTTGTTTTTTTACGTTGATATGAAATATTGTTTGTAGGAAGCCTTGATATTTTCGTATATTTTATGCTAGTTTTTATCGTATTTACTTGTCAAGTTGGCCCTTCTCGTAATCGGATCCTGGCTTCGCCACTGTAATACAAGATTTTACTCTCAAAACATTAGAGTGTACTCCCTCCGTTTTTTAATAGATGATGCCGTTGATTTTTTCTCACATGTTTGACCATTCGTCTTATTTAAAAATTTTATACAAATATATAAGATATAAATCACACTTAAAGTACTATGAATGATAAAACAACTCTTAAGAAAATAAATTATAATTACGTAAATTTTTTAAATAAGACGAATGGTTGTGAGAAAAAGTCAACGGCGTCATCTATTGAAAAAGGAGGCAGTACTAGTTTCGCAAACCCGTTCCTTTTACTCACATGGTTAACCGAATTTCAATATTTCACAACACAATTTGTCGATAAAGTACAGTAACTCAACGAGGTATATGGGTAAATTACAAAAAAAGAAGCATATCCTACAAAAAAGTCAAATAGAAACCCCCATGTGCCAATCATTCACCGGTAGCCGGCGGCTTGGTCGCCGGCGGCCCGGGCCACACGCTGATCCGCTCCTTCTCGTACTTGACGAACACGGCGCCCGCCGCGGCGACGGTGTACACCTGGAGGAACAGCGTGGCCGGCTGGTGGTACTTGACGAGCGCCTTCCCGGAGCCGAGCTCCACGAGCAGCAGCGCCGCCAGGCCGACCGCCGCGAGCGCGCCGTTGAGCCTCTCGCTGTACGCGCTGAACCCGAACTCAACGGGCACGCCCACGGAAGACCGGGCCTCCCGCAGCGGCACGGGCGGGAGCGTCACGGCAGCCTTGGACTTGGACGACGCCCCGGCGCCGCCCTTCCTCTTCCGCGCCGCGGCGCTGCCTCGCTTCTTGGGCCCGACGCGGGACTTGATGCGCAGGACGCGCTCCTCGAAGTCGTCGCCGCCGTCGTCCGTGGCGGTGGCCGTCTTGGCGGGCGCCGCCGGGGCAGCGGGCTCCACCTCGCCGCCGGCGCCGTCATCGCCGGACGCCGCGCGGGGAGGGCGCAGCGACAGCGCGTGGTAGCAGCGGCGGCCGTGCCGGAGCCGCTGCTGCGGCGCCGGGAGGGGCGTGGCGGTGGTGGTCGCGGCAGGGGCGAAGGTGGCGGAGAGCTGCGTCGCCATAGGGTCCTCTCGGGGCGAGCGCGGCGGGCGCACCAGCACTTGATGGCGCGCACCCTGGGCTTGCCACTGGTTTTGGATAAGATTTTGGTGTCATCCGTGTGCGTGGGGCTCCGGTGGTTCCACGGGGCCTTGAAACGTGTGTATGCCCTCATGTCCTTGAAACGTGTGTATGCCTTGAAACAGTGCATGCGCTCGTGGAAGGTCCGAAGGTGCTGTCCGTCACCGTCAGGTCCAGTCCACGGGCACCGCTGGGCACTGGTCGTTCATAAACGATTTTTTTTAAGAAATAATACGATTTCAACGAAAAAACGTAAAAATATTGGTTGGTTAGGCGAAATCATAAGTATAGCACCTATCAAACAATTGTGGTTCGACAAAGTTGGTCCACTAAAAAAATAAAAAGTGCATGAACAGTGTGCTACAGTGTTGTGCAGTGGCCTATCGAACGGCCAATGTTGGATATGGTCACATAAATAGTGCGCTACAGGGATTATTCTCTTTTTTTAAAATTTTGTATCACTTGTCCAACCGTGGTTGTTGGACAGGTACCCTGTCAAACTGTGTTTTTTCGACAGGGTGCTAAACTTGTAATTTCGCCTAACCAACTTATATTTTTGCGATTTTCCATTAAAATCATATTATTTCAAAAAAAATTCTTCATAAACTCTGTTTAGCCTTTCACAGTGGATTCGCCTACATGGAGAAGAAAGTAGGTGGGGCCCATAGCTCTGGTTGATTCTTTACTTCTCACTAGATAAACGAGTGCTTTCTTTGCTAAAGGTTGGCACAAGGCTCGCTCAATGAGGAGAAATCGGTGATACCACTGAACCGTAGGGGTCGTCGCCGCCGAGGGCCGCCACAAGCAGATCAGCCACCGCCGCCACCACTCGGAAAGACAGCGATCCGGACCGCCGTCGCCGCCCCTGCCGGTTTGAAGTGCCGACCGAGGGAGTTCATAGAGTTGATGGAGTCACCACCGGGGCCATTGCTCAAGATCCGCTAGCGGGGCGCTGGCCGGCGACGCAGAGATCCACCACCAGGGCCACCTCTCGAGGCGAGGAGGACGATGACCACGACCTGCTACGTCGCTGCTCCGCTCGACGCTTCCGACATCACATAAAAAAAATTGTTCATAAAACACATCTAGGTTGTTTACTCGCCATAAATACTAATGATTGAGTCCTCGGCATTCTCCAGCTCAGCCATGACATCCTCCCGCCTATCGTCAGCCCACCCTTCGTTAGCATCTCCTTGATGTTGAGTGAGCTTGAGACAGACAAGGACGTGGCAGGTGCTAGTCCTTAGGTCGTTCCGTTCGCCTTATAAAGCCTAGTTGGAGATGTCTGCGGAGATCCCTTAGAGTGATCTCGCGAGCTCCCTGAGAGACACCAAAACTAACGTCTCATCGGGAACTTGGGAGGCTCGACCCCACGACCTTATCCTTTGGCGATCTCGTTAAAGTGTGAGAAGTTATCGTCCAAGCCTTCTTAGAGGGATACCAAGGGCTCCTTCTCTTTCATCAGCACATCTTCGCCCTTCTTGCGGATGGCCTTGTTGTCCCGTACTAGTTCACAAAGTTTGTTGTTGTCGGATCTCGCCATACTCCATCTTTTTTACCTTGTCCCCTGCCGAACCCATCTCCACGTAAAGATGATTGAGTTCAAAGGGGGCTTCCTGGGCAGTGGTCTCCAGTACTCGGTAGGCCTTGGCAAGATGGTCAAGGACCAATCTGGGTGACTTGGTTCGAGAGGCGCTCGGTGCTAGCGGCAGTACAGGGAGAGGAGTCACAATGGTAGAGATCGGATGAGAGCTGGCTTCATCTAGCTGTTCCGAGCTTTGCTCCGATAGAGATGGAGTCATCCTTCAAGAAAAACAAATCAATTAAGCTTGGTGAACTGGATCCTATATAAGAGCAAGAATGGAAAAAAATGATTAAGAAGTTTGCATACTTGGGCCCTGTTTAGTTCACACCAAATTTCCCCCCAACTCCCAACTTTCCATCACATCACATCATATCCAAAACTTTCCTACACACATAAACTCCTAACTTTTTTTTAAACTACCAACTTTCTTCAAACTTCTCCTTAATTTCAGAAACTAAACACAGCCTGTTCGATTCTCTCTCTTGAACAGAAGAGATGACTTTATGCGGTCGCTGATGGAGGCCCTTCTCGGCAGAAGAAGCCTGGCATGTGACAAACATTTATTAAATCATCATTTGGTAAAGAAAGTCCAGATGGAAGTTAAAAAGTCAGGGAGCTATGCTTAGCGTGGAACCACTGACCTTCTCAGGCTCTCAGCGTCCATGTTCCCTTGGCCTTGGCCAATTTAGATCAAGGTGCCTTCTTGGCACCTGCGGTCCCACTAGTGCCAGGTCTCGAGGAAGTGGTGATCGCTGCCGTGACGGAGCTGGAAACAAATTAAGGGTGGTGCACTACTTTACTATATGAATGATGGCAATTACTCTAAATAATTGGTATTTGATTATTTATAAATAACTATTGATACCAAATCATTGGATAGCAAGTAAAAGAGGTTACTGAAATATAAGATGAAAAGAAACTGCGAAGGGAAACATAAAAAAATACATAAGGGACGATCAACCTATGCAAAATATATCCTCTACCACAAAGCTGCCAATCTCAATGTCATCGATAGTTAATAGCCTACAATTGAACCAGAAAAGAAGTCAGAAACATCTTAATTTTCAACTAGAAAATTATATCCAATGGCCATGTAAAAATTAAAAAATAAATATGTTACTTGTCCATAACCTGTCAAAGTGTTAATTAAATAGTTTTATTATGTTAGATTATAAGTGCACTGTACAATAGAATAATGTACACCCCAAAAGCAATGATAGTTTCATAGTGTGCTTACAATTTTACTAGTGATGGGGATTAATAGCTGCAACACTGCAGGTGTCCGGGTCCCTTCAAGAGAGAATCAGTTGAAACTTCCAATTCTTCAAACTTTAAAACCTAGCTTATATAAATCTGCATAATTGAAAAGGCTGTATCAACACGTTACAAATCAAGCTAATAGGATTAAAAAGAAGACTAGAACTACAAGAGAGTCTGGAACTAATCAAGATTCAAGAGAAAGAAAGCCTATGCACTTACTGCACTGCCCGGCGCTTCTGCTGACTGCTGCCCTGCTCCTGTAGTCTGTAGACTCGTGGAGTCGTAGTCGAGCTGCTGCTGCGCCCTGCGCTGCTGCCGGTGGCCGGCAAGGGCGACCAAAGGGACGACCGTCACCCAAGCCCCAAAGCGAAGACCGATGACGAACGGATGCGGCGTGGTGGGGAAAAAGAAAGAAAAAGAAAAGGAGAAAACGGGAGTTGAAGAGATTTGCGGCATGCAGGAATCCTAATTGGCGCGTGCGCGCCGCTGGCGCACGCCGACCCACACGGCCCAATAGGCAGCAAGACACGGTTAGTTTTTTTTTTCCGAATTTTTTCATATATGTGTAAACTTTCAACCCAGATTTGAATACTTTCAAATCCAACTTGAAAACTTTCAACTCCGATTTAAAAGCTTTCAACTTCGACTTGAAAACTTTCAACTCATATTTGAAAACTTTCAAGTCAGATTTAAAAACTTTCAACTCAAGATTCGAAAACTTTCAACTTAGATTTGAAAGCTTTCAACTTGAGATTCGAAAACTTTCAAATCAGATTTGAAAACTTTCAACTCGAGATTTGAAAACTATCAACTCGAGATTTGAAAATTTTTAAGTTAAGATTTGAAAAAATATGAAAACTTTCGACTCAGATTAAAAAACTTTCAACTCGAGATTTGAAAACTTTCGACTCCGATTCGAAAACTTTCGACTCGAGATATGAAAACTTTCAACTCAGATTCGAAAACTTTCAACTCAAGATTTGAATACTTTCAAATCGGATTTAAAAATTTTCAAGTTAAGATTTAAAAACCTTCAACTCAAAACATTTTTTAAAAAATAAGGGTGCTAAAGATTAAAAAAAGTAATCAGAAAAAAACAAAAAAAACCAAAAAAATCGCAAAAGAAAAAGAAAAAACAAATCGCGAAAAAAAGGGCTGATGGGCCTTGGGCCGGGAGCAGCTGGCGCGCGCGCCAACTAGCAACCCCTGCGGCGTGCGCGCGGCTGTGATCGAAGTCCGAGGCGTCGACGCGACTCCCTTGCTCACGGGCTTGGCCTTCAGCCTTCACTTGCCAGCTCATGGGCCAGGGTGGTGCACGGCCGTGGGCTGAGGGGGTTCTCATGTGGTAAGATGGGGGGTTAAGTACTAAATTTGAAAATTGGGCCGGGTGTCTATGAAACCCCAGACCCATTGGACTATGCCCCTGGGGGTGCAGCTCGATCAATATCTTCTCAAAGCAACACAGACTCTTAGTGGTCGATTAGAAGCCTGATGACGTCCGTCAACGCACTACTACAGAAACAGAGATTAGTGTCGGTTGGGAAACCCTCTTAGGTGCCGATTTTCCCAACCGGCACAGGGGAGGCGGCACTGATTTAAAATCAAATGGGTGCCGGCACCTTTTAGGTTCATCGAATAAAAAAAAGCTTAACTTTGGATGAACAAGAACATTCATCACAGCAAGCACATCCACATTCACATCCAACATTCATCCTGTTGTCGAAACGACAACTGCATACGTCGAAGGACGTGGTTACTCAACAGTGGTTGGGAAAATAAAGTGTACTAATTTTTGAATTTCACTTCGGATCCCCCGTTACATGGCCCTAGGGGGCTATTTATAGCCCTATTGCAGGCTCTTACTACTAGGATCTAGGTTGTACAGGGGAATTTACATGATTACCCTTATGAAAGGGACATTTACAGGGGTACATAATGTTATAGGGTCTCATGGGCCCCTGATGGGCCGTCTAGCGATCGCCGGCCCTTAGGCTTGATGGGCCGGAAAGGCTTCCTCGGCCCTTGCGGTGGCGAACTTGCCGACATGGTGAAGTCGTCTTCCTTCGGCAGATAGTCTTCGCCTTGCACCCTTCGACCGAGACGCCCCTGGCCTGGCAAGGCCCTCGCGCGACTCTTCGCCTCACGCCGTTCTTGCTCCATAGCCTTCGCCACGGGTTTCGGCAGATCTGGTCGAAGAGCCTTATGCCATCCGCCAACAAGCCCCTCGCGGGCAAGGGTGAGATTGGAGCTTCGGCCGAGACTGTGTAAACCATGTGGTATGGTATGTGGTGCCCCCTTTCGACCGATGCTCCTGCCGAAACCTACATTATTCCTGCAAATGAAGTTTGTTACTTGTGCGGCTGGTATTATTTTGCCGCGCTTCGCCTCGTGCGATTGATGGTTATATAAATTCTTTTTTCCTGGGCCGAATGGAACAGTATTGGGCCTTCCTTTCTTGGGCTTTTTACTATGCCGCTCGGTCGACGGGAATTTACCGTTTCGCCTACCCTTGCGACACGTGGCGCTTTATTACTGGTGGGTAGGCGAACGATCGCTTGGGCGGGCTATATATTCCCGTTGCTCTTTCCTTTTCACCGCCACACTTGCCATTTTACCGTGCGCGCTCTCTTTCTCCGTCTCTTCCTTTCACAGCATCTTTCGACCCCTCAGGCGTTTCGCCGAATCACTTTTTTCGCCACCGCAAACGCACCGTTTGCCATGGCTCCACGTAAGCCAAACCCTACTTCGGCGAAAGGGCCAGATCCCGGCCGAGTCGATGACGACAGCACCGCCTTTCTAGGGGTCTCTCTTGTGGACGACGTCGAGCTGGCGAAGTTGGTCAGCTCTGGAGCGTTGGTTGAGGGGCAGGCTTTCGCCCCAGGGAAAACCGTGGTGCCGAAACCTGTCGACAACCGGATGGTGGTGTTCGCCGTATTTTTTGAGGCAGGGCTACGATTTCCCTGCAACGTGTTGTTGCCGGAGATCCTTCGCCTCTTTGAGGTGGAACTTCCGTAGCTGAGCCCGTCGGCGCTTGTTTGGATCGCTATCTTCGACTGGGCGTGCCGGACTTCCGGGTTTGAGCCCAACGCCGAGCTCTTTGGCGCCATATTTTTCGCCACCGTGAACTCGAAGACGGTGATCACCCCGGCTGGAACGAAAAAAACCGTGTTCGGGAGCGTGAACTTCAACGTTCGCCCCAAGCGGTTCGATCTCTGGCTGGTGAACGCTGCTATGTCGAAGTGGGACCGCCATTGGATGGCGAGGTGGTTCTACCACACCATCCCCTTCGAGGCTGGTTCTGAATCAGCGAAAGCCCTCTGGTGCCAGCGTAGGGCGATTGCGCCGAACCGGAGACCCAAGATCGCTGTGGACGGCGCCATGGAGGCGCGGTTTGTTCTACTGTGGAAGGTTTGCTCCCGCCTTAGCTGCCGTGACTTGGTGGAGGAATTTTGTATGCTTCGCATTTTTCCCCTCTCCTAGTCATGGCAAGTCGCGGTTGAACAAGGCGAAGAAGTCGACAGTTTGCCGAACCTGATACTCCCTGAGGGGGCGAACAGTAAGACTGTTCTTTTGCTATATACTACTGTGCTTTGTTATTTCGCCTTATTTGACTTTTGACGTAGCTTCACGCTCTACTTTTACAGTGTTGACCCTCGACCAGGCCGAAACCGAAGCCCGCAGGATGATCGGCGATGTTTCGGTCGTCGAGTATAGTCAGCTGTTAATGCGTCAAGCGGCTGGGCGGGTGAACCGAGTTTACAATGGCGAACTGCCTCCCCGGACGAATCCCCAAAAGGCCGACGACGAGGCAGGGCCTTCGCGAAAGCGGATGCGTGGACAAGTGAAGCTTGCCCCCAAGAAGCGAAGGGTTCCTGCTTCGTCTGACTCCGACGCCGACGACGAGGATGATGCCGAAGAACGTGACGGCGAGGAGGAAGGAGAGGAAGAGGAGGAGGTGGAGGCTGTGGCTGATAAGGCCGCGGGTGAGGCGGTCGAAGACCGCGCCGACACCCCCGGGTACACTCCTACCCCAAGTCCTGGTCACAACGAAACTAGGGTGGAGTCGAACAGCTCCCCCCTTCATCGGAAGGATTTGGAAGGGGCGAAGGCCCTAGTTGCGTTCTCTTCGGGCGCGGCGGCGAAGGGAGGTCCTGTCAAAAAGGTGGCTAAAAAGAAAGGACTCGTCGATGTCGCTCGCGTTTTTAGCGACAACGAGTCCTCCGACGGGACTCCGACTTCGCCCGCTGGTTGCAGCTTGGATCTTTCGGCCGCCCCCATTCCTCCACTTGGCGCCGCTGGAGTGGACGGTAGTTCCGCCACTGGGGCTTCGGCTTCTGCGGAAAGGATTGTGATGGCCGCGGCGAAAGTATTCGGCAGTACTCCGTATCAGCCGGTTGCCTCGCCGCTGATGGAGGCGAAGGGAAAGAGAGCGGTCGCTGAGACGTCCGCTTCGGAATATTCGCTCTCGGTACCCCGCTTCGCCCCTGGCGACTTCGAGACGCGAGCGGACCTCCTTCCTTTTGTGGAGGGGGTAAGCAATCTTGTACTGCCCGCCAGCGCCCCGAGCTTGTTCACCGAACTGAATGAGTTCGACGAGGGGTGCTCTGCTATAAAAAGCCTGGCTGTTCGGGTACGTTTCCCCCCTTTTTATCTTTACTCTTCCTCTATCTTGTTTTTACAATTGACACTTGTTCTCTTCGCCGCTCGAATTCTGCGCCCAGATCCTCGCGGCTCACTGCTCAATGGAGCGAACCGTGCGAGCTCGACTTGATGGGTTCAAAAGCCGTCTTCGGGCCAAGGATGACGAACTAGGCCGCAAAAATTTGGAGATGGAGGCCCTTGCCAACACCCTTAAGGAGGCGAAGGCCGAAAACAAGCGGCTCCAATTGGAACTAGAGAAAGGGAAGGAAGCTAGGGCCAAAGTCGATCGCTTAAAGGCCGAACAGGAGAAAGAGAAGGCCCACACCGCCGTGCTCATAGATTATTATAACCTCACCGAGCCGAAGATGGAGGCCCTTCGGCAGGAGGTTCGCAAGGCTGAAGCAAGCGCTGCAGAGGAGTCGCGGCGGTTTTCGTGGGAGATGGTGAAAACCACCGAGTCCGCGCGGACAGTGTGCCAAACGCTTCGGCTTGCCCTTACTGATATGGGCGCGAAGGTGCGGGGTGTCCCCTCCGAAGATGCCTTAGCCTTCGACTTCTCCGAATGGACCCAACAGGCTGGTGGTTCGGTTTCGGACTGCGCCACCGCATACGGCGATTGCTGTGCACGCGTGTCAGCGGCCTTTACCATGGGCCTCCTGCAGCAGTTCGGCTACGAGCACATCGCCGAGTTCCCCAAGTACGCGAAGGGGGATTGGGAAATCAGTGCGCAAGACATTTCGCCTGCACTTCGTGCGTGGCGAAAACAATTTTGGCAGAAGGACGGCC